CTTTTCTAGTGGTTTGTCAGCGTGCTTCTGCTCAGCCCAAATGTTTCTGCTTTAAGGTCACTCTTTATCTCCATTCTTCCAGCCGCTGGTTGGGTCTTTTTCAAAATTGCAGGAACCTAGGCAAGATGCAAAACAGCTTGTAATTACATGAGAAGCTGCTCTATGTGCAGTAGAAAGAAATCAAGCTTCACAAGGGTCCTTTCTGTAAAAGGAGGAGAAATAGTAGGAACTTTTCCTCCTCCTCTTACAGAACACTGTCTCTGGCTTCTTCCTATACCTTTCAGTAGCTTTTTCAAGCAAGTCAGTATGTGCTAGAGTTGTTCTCGAGCAAAACATGAGGATAATCCAGTAAATTGTAGCCAGTTAGTGATCAACAACAAATTACTTCTGCCTGCCTCTCAGTGGCAAGGTAAGGGAGGGAAGAAGGGGAATTTGAGTCTCTCTCTTTCTTTGGACACTTATGGGAACTGAACTTTTGAATGCGTTGATATTTCTCTTCTATAATTATTGGAGTGCAGAGCGTACGCAGCCAGCCAGTACAATCCTATAAACTTTGTTAGGAAAGGGTAGTGAATGAGGCAAAAATCACTCATACAAACTCTTGCTAACCTGAAGACAGTCTCCTTGGAAATTTTCATACAGCTTGGCATATGGCTCTATAATACCATCAGCATCAGGGCCAAAGATGGCTGGCGTGCACATGAAGAGCTACTGTAATCTGACTGGGTGTCAGGGCGTAACGACAACATCATTCTCCAGTATGAGATATTACAGCTAGTACCCATCCTTATCTTCCTTTTCTCTTTACTTTCTCTTTCATCTGAAAAGCACCACAGACCCAGAGTTAGTACGTGGGTGGGAACAGGAGGGCAGGATTCCATGACATCCCTCACTACGAACAGACTGCTACCGCTTGCTTTCTCAGCTGCTGTTTTTCTTATCAGCCTCAGTTTCCATTAGGCTGTTGGGAGAAGCTAAGGCATCTCTCAAGGCATACCACGCTGCCTTGCTTCTAGCAACAGCAAACGCTATCTTACAGCTCAAGTACATCTCTGCCAGTGTTGAGCTCCCCACCTCACTGAATCCAGCAAGGGAGAACCTTCTGCTCTGCCAATTCAAGGAACAGGGACTTCAGCTGAGTTCCTCCAGGCTCTGTGGCCCATTCCTCGATGGCCGCTAATTTCCTGCATTAGAGATGAGCTGTACATACAGAGACTAAAGCCAAAATCTTAGCCAGCCATACGTACCTGAGGAGGTAGGGAAGGTTCCAGGTGCCGCCCAAGGAAGGAAAGCAAGCGCCGCCATATCAAACCGCTTCCCAGAAACATAATCCCAGTCACTAGCCAAAATATTCTGGGGTCCTGTCAACAGAATGCCTTCAATTAGTCATGCAACTCTCTCCTAGAAAAAAGCATCATCAAAAGATTCTGTGATCCATCCTTCTTTCCTCTCACTCCCCAGCAGTGTTCTCCTTTATGTGAGGGAAGTGGTACACTCTCTACTGTCAACAGCCAAGTTCAACCTGGGGCAAAGGGCTGTTTCACAGCAAAGTATCTTGCTTAGGAATCACCCTAATGTATTCCGTTACTGTCCCATGCAGTTCTCCTTTGTTAGCAGTTTAGAAATTCAACCTTTCTACTTCACGGATTACGAAAGAAAGAAGTCTTTATTTTTTAAGGCAGCACATGTCATTGTAAATGCCCCCACTGCTCTAGGCATAATCACATAGGAATGACAGTTCCTCTGGCGTGTTTGGAACGCCCTGGCTGCTTGCTTTAAAACCTTGCATCTGAAGGACAGAGCTGGGCTTTTCAGAAGCGCAGATGGTCGTAAAAGAACCCTTAACATTGCTCTGTCCTTATTCAACCACAGTTTGAGTCTTTCCTATTTCCTCTCATGGGACATTACATGGACAAAAAAGCCTGCAATACTATGTGATTAGCCATAAAGTAATTTGGTACAAAAGAAAGTGACTGCACTAATGCTTGAATCACTGGACTGAATTATCCTACTTCACACACCAATATAACTCTGGAGCTCTACCTGTGGAAAGAATGGAGTTATACTGAATGCACAATGCACTCTTAAGAGCAGGACCTGTATTTTATGCCGCTGGTAAAAGCAGCGCTATTTCCTTACCTCTTCAAGAGATGACTCCAAGTTCATACCAAATGCAACTCCTATCAGTCCAAAGAGAGAAAGAGAGAAAGTCCCCATAGTCAGCTGCAAGTTCAGTCTCATCATCACATTACGGTGGCTAAAGAAGAGAGAGACATCTGTAAGAGGAACCTGAGTATTTGTCTGCTGCCTAAAGTCTTAAATTCCATACAGCATGCACTAAAACAGCAATGTGAAATAAGAGCAAATCATGCTAGAATAAGGCAGCACAGTAACAGAAGTGCAGAAAAAACAGTGTAAAGAGGCTTTCATTTTTGAAAATGCTGCATCAGGATACCTCTAAGGCAGCAGGTTCTGCTTAATCGTCAGCAGACTTTCTGGTATCTCTCACTTCTTGGAGGTATATGCA